AGCAGGAAGACAGCCACTGGAAGAACGAACAGGAGGCAAATCATCTTGTCTTTCATGTAATGTGTCTGTTCTCAGGAACTGTGGTTTATCATATTCATTCATTTCTGTCACCCAGCTCTGAAAATAAATAATATACCTGCACCTTAAAGCAGTAAAGCAGATATACTATATAGTCTACAATGACCCTAACAACTGACCTTATAATACACTGCTCTTAATAGGGAAAAGCAATTAAGACAAAAAGCAATTGTGCTTTTTTGAATAAAAAGTAATCTACAAAAAAACCCTGTAGAGTTAAAATGGGTATTAAAGATTCAGTGACATTAATTCAAGAAAATAATAACCCCCCACCAACATAATCCTTTGATCGTTTCCTCATTTAATCAAATAATTATATCCTACTTAGGCACTAGAATAGGAAGATTGATACATCAAAGTGATTATATTACTGACCATTGTAAGTGAGAGTTATACTGTACCGTTAGTTCACTATTAATTGTTTTCCATTCTTCAGCTGTGAAATCAGAAGCTGTGGCTGCAGGCTTTTCTTTTCTCAGAGCTCTGCTCCTTGGATCTAGATGCTCAATACGCTTTTCACAAAACAATGTAAGTTCAGGATAACATCCCTCTTCACCAGACCTTTTAAAATGCAGATAGAAAAATTACAAGGAAGAACTGAACTGCACTGTGTCTCCTCCATATTCCTCTCCATGTGTAGCTTCTGCGTTGTCACCACTGTGACTGCAGAGGACTTCTTCCTGTTACAATTGAATTCTACTATCACCTAAGAACATTTTGAATGAAATTTTAGAATTTCGAATGGAATTTCAGAAAATTCCAGTGAGTTAACATTCAACCACTTACCAATGGGCAGCCATACACAGTTCAAAATTATCATCACTGTGCACATAAAAAAATGCTCGTGTCTTTTTCAGCAAAAGTTACAAGTATCTGAAGTTACCACAGTCAGACCAGATGGCTTCATGACAGAACCAAAATGCAGCAGCAGCATTTCAGAAAAACCTGGCATTGAGTTACTCAAACCTTTTGGATAGTTAAAACAGGACTTGGAATTCTAGATTTATCATTTGGACTCTTTTAACATTATTACTTTAATTTTGTATTTTAATTTTTAAATTAGAAAGTCCCACAGAGTTTCAAGAGAAATAGAGTACTCAGGTACAGGTTCCTTGAAATACAGGAATACAATTAGTAATGAAGGTAAGAAAATAGAATGTTTACCTTAATACCCTGAGAATCTTTTCCAGGTGTTTAACATCTGTGCATTTTTCAATGAATTTATAATCCAGATGACCAATAGGTATTTGATAAGTTTTAGTGGTTCCTTGGTCCAGCAAAAACGGTACTGACTCATCACCCATAACTAAATATTAAAAGGAAAAAATGTAGTGATTCTGTAGGCACTTAGCTGTATTTTGAAGCAATGGTAATTTAAGGAATAACCCTGCTTATGCTCCAAAGTACTACTCTGTTGTGCAAGCATACCTATTGCCACAAAAGAGAAACTTCAAGTTTGAAGACTTGATTACACAAACTGTTCTTGACAGAGCTTTACTGACAGAAGTACCGTTACATATGAAGTATGTTCTGGAAAAAGAATATATTCAACAATACTGCTTCTGCAAGGCAGGTCAAGTCAGAAAGACTGCTGAAAGAAAAATTGCCAATTTTTGCCTACCGCATTCTCTATTTTTCTTTAAACACAATATGGTATTACCTATTTTAAGCAAGTTTGGTGGGGATGAAGGAGAAGATGGGGCAGGATGCTCTACTTTTTTCACAGGGAAGATGTTAATGAGCTCAGTGTATCTATTGGAATGATAACCTTTGCCTTCTCTGTAGCCAAAATAAACGCAATTGTTTGTCTTTCCTCACTAACAGCATTTTATGAACTTCTGATTATGTTACTGTATTAATATGAATCTTTTCCAGTAAGTCTGTAACTGATGAAGTGAGGTGTTCAAATTGGACATGTCCTGTCTCCTTCTATCTTTGATTTGCTTATCTGCATCATTTTCTATTTTGATTCCAAGCTCTATGGAGCAGAAATTCTTGGGGTTTCCCCCATGTTATATAGTGCTTAAAATAATTGTGTTCTAATATCTAGCATAATTACACATATTAACTTGTAGTTGCACGAAAACGTTTACAATACAGTAGCAGTTAAATAGAAGCTGGTCATAACTAGGTATTGCATAAAGGCAGGATCAGCCCCAAGGACTTAAGAGTTTCAGTACTGGGAAAGAAACAACACGCACGCAGAGACAGACGAACACAGGCCGTCACCAGGGAGGGGAAAAAGCGAGAGCCGCTCACCGCAAAGCCGCCGCCTCCCGTTTCGGTACCCCCCAGGCGTCAGGGCGCCGGAGCCCCCGAGCGCCCAGCGGGCTCTCGGCAGCGCGGGGGCGCGGACCCCCCCCGGGGCGCGGGCCGGGACAGGGCCACAGCCAGACGCGCT